TAGCATTAAACTAAATATGTAGTTCCTAATATGACATCTACAATGTCACAATAAACAAATGATATGGTCAGCAGTTCCCATCAGTAAAAACAGAAAGTTATCATGTATTATGCCTGGCATAAACTCAAACAACCTGTGTCATCTATGACTTCTATAGCATTAATAGTTCCTACAGCATTAGCAGGCATTATATAAGCTAGTTATTGCTTAGAGATGTTAATAACAGAGTTAATGAAAAGGGAAGAATAACAGAAAGGTGGGTAGAAAAGAGTTTGCAATTTCAAAAGATTAACAGGGAGAATGCAGAAGTGATATAGGATGTTATGGTCATGAGGGAGGAGGAGAGAAAATAGAAATAAAAAATTAATGAAAGAGTGAACAATAGAATTTGGCTGTTAGTAAAAGAAAAGAAACAAGGGAAATAGACAAAAATACTAATCAAAACTACTAACCCTCAAAGACAAAGAAAAATGACTACCTTCCAAAAATGCTATAAATGAGAAAAAAGAAACAAATATGTATATTATAAATGTTCATGAGCCACTGAGAGAGAGTGCACAGGCACACATACACACAGGAGAGAGGTGGGGAGAGAGGGAGAGAAAGACATCCTTGATGAAAAATTAAGGAATCATTTCCATTGAGGTTGTCAAAATAGTCGATGAAAATATATGTTTACTGTCTGCTCAACTATCTTTCTTTCTGTTTCTTCTTGAGATAGGTACTGAACACGAGAGCAGGGGCTGTGGTTTTTTTAATGTTGCTCATTAAGTTTCCAGGTGGAGTTAAAAAATTCTCAGCTTCCCTGGTTAGTAGCATGAGGCAGGGTGGGATGGGAAATACTTTCAGCTGGGTTTGGTCTGCAACAACCTGATGGATGCAGTCCCAGGGTGGGGCTGCTACAGAGTTCTGTGAGAGGAATCCCATAGGTGGAGCTCCTGAAGAAGTTGGGGCTTAGGTCTAGTCAGACCCCAGATGCTTTGTTGGGTGGTGACGGCTCCAGAGATATTAAATCAACATACCTCTAGAGCCTGGAAGTTGCCAGTCTCCACTGGGAGCTGTATCCTAGGAGATTCTCTGGGTTTCACTTGTGAAGCAGGGGAGCCAATCCTTTATGGCTTCTGTTGCCCACAGATACTGCCTTTCCAGGCTTCCCGGGCTTAATCCCTGAGTGTAGTCACAGCTCCCATTCAAATTTCCAACCTGCTTCAACTGCTTCTGCAAGCTGCCAGACTCAAAGTGGGTACAGAGTCGGGCTCCCCTTGGCCTTTCTGACTTGTGTTACCCTGAGTAAAATACTCTCCAAGCCTGTTTAACTCTCATTTTCTTAGGTACAGCCTAGATCATGTGGCAGGTGCCCAGCAGGACCATGTAAAGGAAACAGTTCAGATCTCCCAGTTCCCAAAGCCTTGGTGAGGTCACCTCAGTATGGCTCCTGTCTCTCAGGGGACAATTGGGAAACATGAGTGTGAAGATGGCCTTAGGCCTGAGCCTAAGCAACTCCATTTTTAAAACTCCAGTTTGAAACCGGCAATCTAACCAGGCACACTTAACGGAGCCCTCCAGTACGGCCCTCAGGCACAAACAAATCACTTCCCCCCCACCCTGATAAACTCAAGAGTGAAGTCTCTGGCAGGCTGTCCTTGCCAGATAAGAGGGAAAGGCGAAAAGATCAGGGTGGGGACCACCAGACCAGATGTTTTAACCCCAAGGTAAATGACGCAACATTGGAGAGACCCAGTGGCAGCTGATAAGGACTGAAAGAGGGGTCAAAAGCCCCAAAATTTAGTATAAATAATGGAGCAAATGAACAGACATTTAGCTAACAATGATGCCCTCAGACTGAGAGCCTGATGAGGACCAGGACTGACATCTCAACATTTATCAGCATTTGCTAATCCTCTGCATTTTCCTACAGCCACATCTTGACCCTGGTAAGAGCCACAATTTCCCCCTACTACCCTCTCCTCAACCTGCATTAAGCTCCACCCCAAAGCCTGCCTTGGTTACTGACCGGATCACCGTGGTCTGAGTGAGCGTGCATCTAAGGCTTGAGACTTTTGAACTGATACTTGAACTTGCAGAGGGAACATCTGTCATTAGTCTGTCATGATTAAGTTTGCAGTGCTTAGAATTAATCTAGAATTGTTTGCTGTGAATTGATTGTCTATTGCAGTGCCTAGCATTAAGAATTGTCATTTTCTTGATTAAGAACCTATGGAGTGAAATTGTATTTGGTGATTTGAGTGAATAAAGCATTGACTAGGACAGAAGTGCGTGGACATTCTTTGTTTCTCCCCCTCAACTACATAAGTCGCACCTTTTGCCCATCTCAACAATGAGGCATCTTTCATGTACCAGTATAATGTGCAGTATAGTCTCTGGATCAGCCTAGGGCAGACTGCCCCTCAGATCTCAGGATTTTCCACACTAAGTCTATCCTTTGTATTTCTCAGCACTTTCCCTCCTCTGTGCTAATGCTACTGCTACTGCTAGTAGCTTGGCTCCAATGTTGTCTTTCTTCTTGGTTTAATGTACCCCAAATTTCTAGTCTCTAAGGCACTCAGACTGCTCAATATTGAGTTTTAGTGAAATCCCTTTTTTCACCCCCCTGGCAGAGAAGCAGTATTCCTGCTGCTTGAATCCTGGGTCATGGAGCAATAATAAATACAGCTTTCTTCTAGTCTGCCTTCTTGTGTCCCCAGACCCATCATTTTTATCCTTTTGTCATCCCCACTGAGGCTTTTTATTTCTCATCCTCAGTCCCTTACCTCCTTGCTCTTTATCAGACATTGTCTTCTCTACTGTTATCCCAGGTTACTATGTGCTTCCCGATCAAACTCACTCAACAATTCAGACTGTAGTTGCTATGATTTCAGCATCTCTAACCTGATTTAGTTCTTCTGAATTTTCCTTTAACATTTCAATATTTTGTCACTTAGCTCCCTCTGAATATCAACTAGACCATGAAAAAATGGAGACATTCCATATTTCTTAAAGTATGCTATCATTGTAACAAGGTTAATTATTCTGAAATTAATAAATCAATATATTTAAAATAAGATTCTCAACATTTATATCTAGATTAAATGATTGTTAAAGTTTATATGGAAGAGCAGATGTGTGAGAATTGAAAATTAAAAAGAACTTCCCCTATTAGTTATTAAAATTTACTGCAAAACTACTATAAAAAGAATCTGATATTGGCATCAAAACAGATAAGTACATTAATAGAATGAAATAGGCAGTACACAAATATATTCATATATGTATTTAACATAAAGACGGTATTGTCATTAAAAACATTAAATTAAGAAAGACTACTAGAAAATTGACTAGCTAATTAAAATAAATCAGATTAGACCCCCATCTAACTACCAATACTATAAAAATAAATTCAGTGTATTAAAGAACTTTCAAAAATCTTATTAAAATTTTAGGATAACACATGGCAATATTACTTGAATAAATGCAGAACTGGAAAACCTTAAGTAGAAAAAACATTTAAAAAATCAGAAATAGTACTGATGTGTATTATTTTATAAATCTAAAATCTGATGCTACAACATTTAACATTATAAAATGTTACAGTTCTAATTCAGTAAAATTATATTTCGATATTTAAATGGTGTTAAAAATAGCTCGAGGCCTATTTAGAGTGGTATATTACATAAATCATCAATCAGAATTTCTTTTTTAATTTCAGCCTTATTTTTTTAGCTGACACAGCTCTTACATGTGGTTTCCCTACTGAGCTGGAGGAAATACATTGATTAATATGATAATCCTATAATTAAAATTTAGAAAGTTTGTCTAAAAATATGGTAGACTCTCACTCCAGAAAATTTGTAAAACATTTTTTAATGCCTCCAAAATTATTTCCTTTGGTACATTCTTTGTATGTGAATGGCTTTAAGAAGTCTCACTAAAACTCTGAAATGAAAACCATACTATATTTAGTTTGAAATGTGTTTCAACATTTGGTTAAGGTAATAAATTAAAACTTAAATGTATTCTATCTTTTATTTTTAGTTTTACTGTTAAATTGTGTATATATATTTAAGTTATATATACACACCATAAAAATATGCGCGCGCGCACACACACACACACACACACACACACACACGCACACGCTTTATGTCCCCCTCATTTACTCGATTCTAATATGCTTTCTTGAGAGTAAATTAAATATATAGATTCCAGACAATGTAGTTAGAACTGCTCATTCTATGATACAAGAAAGAGGTGTGGAGCCACTAGAAGAAACAGAACATACAGGCCACAGCTGGAGTAAATACTCAGATTTTATGCTAATTTGCTTACTAATACTTGTTAAGGAGTAAGATTTTGTGCTTTCTGCTAGGGATACAACAAGAAAATCAAGATTTCCTTTTCTTATGAAGTTTGTATTGACATCACTGATATGAACTAACTAATTACCAACTAGTTATTTAATTGTGGCTATAGTAAGTACTAAGGAAGAAATAACTGATCTAGTCTCTAAAGTTAGAGAAGGTATTTGGAGAATATAAGGATCAAACAAGACCTCTGTTGGAGTCAGGGCAGGATCAGTGAAATGGGGCAAGGAAGTAGTATCTGGACAGCAAAATACTGTTCCTATAAGAGAGGTTCTGAGGTAGGAAGTAAATGGACCAAGAGAAAGTCAGCAAGGCTGCAGCCCCAGAAGGTGGCTAATGGTGAGGGATGACACAGGTGAGGTGGGCAGAGTGCCTTATAGGATGTCCTAAATAATCTAGACATTTTTCCTATGGGAAACAACCATTTAGTTAGTTATTTATTCTGGTAAATCAGGAAAATGTTAGAGTCAGATTTATATTTTTAACTTTTCCATCGTACAAATTTAAACGTCCCCTTTCAGTAAGTTTTCTTATGAAAACTACTCTTTCAAAATAATTACACATGAAAAGTTTCCCCATTTCCACTCCAAATTCAATTCTCTAACGACACTAGTATCTTGAGAGAATACAATTTCATACCCTGTTTCTTCTGGAAACGCAGAAATGGTGCTTCCATCACTTTGACAAGGGTCCTGAGAAGGAGAGTCAGAATCTTTTCTATCTGGGTTTGTAGCGATATTGGCCACTCGTTGTTGCAAGTCCCACTTTCGAGCTACGTTGTTAATTGTTAACCTTTTCTTCTCCTATTAAAAAATTTAATTGTGACAAGAATTACACAATATAAATTTTTAAAAAGAGAATCCAAGGAGCATATTGTTGCACCTTCTTACAACACTTTTGAAAACAAACTATCCCTTAAACATAGTTACCCAATACACATTCTAGAACAAAGTTCAAGACACCTATATTTATCTTATATATTCAAATATATTAATAATAGTCTATCATCCTCAAGAAAAAAATTACATACAAAATATAATTAGTATGTAGGAACTGAATTTTATTAAAAATAAACATATAACCACTGGACAGTGAAAATTTACTATCTGAAATTTTGATTTGACAAAAATGTATATGCCTCAGTCTTTAAACACTGCAAGAAAGACTAATAAGCATTAAAGTTTTCCTACCCAATAATTAGGACAAATATGGTGGAATAATCTTTGTGTGTGGGGAGGGGAGGGGGTTGATCAGTGTTCCAAGTTTCACAGTATAAACTGTTGTGTCTGAAAATGAAAAAAAATATTGTTTGGACTACTAAAAGAAATTTGCTAGGCTGAAATTCTTCTAGACATCTACCATTCTAGAAGACAAGGAAAGAAATTAATTCATTATATGCAATGGATGCTTTACAGTAGTGGTTCTTAAACTTTAGAGTGCCTCAAATCACCTAAAGGGCTTTACAATCAGATTGCTGAATCTCACCCCATTCTGATTTAGTGTCTCTGGACTAGGACCTGTGAGTCTGTGTGTCTAACATGCTTCCACTTCATGCTAAGTTTCTAGTTCACAGACCCCATTTTGAGAACTACTGCCTTGAGACATTAGAGATCAATTTTCTCACAGAAACCCTGTTGAGAAAAGCAGTTCTAAGTTACTGAAGGAAATTATGATAGATTATAATGTTGTCTGTATTAACTGGAATAAAGAATTCTTATTCTAGTTATTTTTTTACTACCAAATGTTATCATTTTAAAATGGTTTATAAATTAGATCAGAATGCCAAAAATAGATATGTTCTCTTTCCTCTTTCCTAAGAATATAACCGTCCAATGAAAAGTCAGCTGAATGTGATACCGATTGTTCTTCTTCACCTCTTAGAAAGAATCTCTGCCCATTTCCTCAGTGCCTATATACATATAGAATAATTATTTTTAGTTGTGCCTCTTTATATTTCTTTAAGATTCTAGCGTGTGTGTGTGTGTGTGTGTGTGTGTCATTTTGTAGGAATGAAAAGTGATGTGGCTGGCTTAATTAAAAATTAAAAATTGAATGAGGGCTAGAACCTAGGTCTACTGATTCCTCATGCTTCTCCTATTATTAAAAGAGCTAACTATCTTTATAATTAATTAAACATTTAAAATTTCTGTTTGTCTATTTAAAAATGTTTTAGGCATGGGTTCTTTTCTCTATTATTTGATATTTCAAATTTGTATAGTTAATGGATAACACTTATTATGTATACAATTTTGAAATATCTTTTTTAAATGATATTTTTTAAATGTTCTCCTTATGTAAAGCAAGTAGGATTCTGCTATTCTACTGGAAAAACAATATCTTCCTAATCTGTAATAAAAAGGCATCTTACCTAAAGGAATACTATTTTAGTTATTTACTGATGACTGTGCCAACTCAATTCTTAATCTAAGCAATGCTGTTATTTTTACTCAGTACCAAGGTCACTGGACCCATGCATTTGGCTTTCTGTATGACAGGGGTTGGCAGAGAATAATATACTTACTGAGGTTTAGATAACAGAGCTTAGAAAAAAGGCACTGAAATAACTTTACACTATTGGATATGTTAACAAATTTGTAACACGATAGTCTCTGAAAATGCAAACATTTTCTTATACCCATAAAAGTTAAGCTTCCTTTACTTGGGCTATTAAAATCAAATCAATACCAGGTAGACTAAGATAATGGATAATTTTATTGGGGCCAGGAAAAAGGAATGTAGGACAGGAGTATATCCTGAGGTCAGGCAGGGTTCACTGTCTGGCTAGGAGGCCACAAGAGGGCTCTAGATATATACGGAGCAAGAAAAAAAAGAAACCAAAAAAAAAAAAAGCTAGATAATGCTATAGATTCTCCAAGGCAAAAGGTGGCAACCAATGCATAGTTAATTTTCAAAGATCACTGAAGCATTTGGCATATTAACTATAATTATGTTTGTAATTGCTAGATTTTGGTAATTGCTAGATTGTTATCAATTGCTAAGTCTATGTTAAAGTGATAAATATTTTAGAAGGTGCCAAATTCAACTTTTTCCATTTGAGTCTATTTACAGTCCAGGTAAGACCACACTGGTATATGCCATAAATACCATTTATCTTCATTTCCAAGGATATAATAATAGAAAGAAAAGAAACAAGGCAGAAGATGTAGGTCTATATAATCTTTTCCTACTCAACCCATCCCATTTTCTTAATGATCAATATATAGTATTACATGAAAATAATCCTTAGAAAAGGCTAAATATCTGTTTTATCATGACTCCAATTCTGAATGAGGGCTAGAACCTAGGTCTACTGATTCCTCATGCTTCTCCTATTATTAAAAGAGCTAACTAATCTTCATAATTAAAAAGTTCTACTTAGTGACTTTTAAGAGAAACATCAGCTATTTTCCAAAGTTTTCATTAAAACTTTCCAAATATTCTTTTAAATGTTTGCTAAAAATTTAATGGCACATTTTCCCACATGCTGGTAGTATGGTGCAGCTGAATTGGGTACATAACAAAATTTTTTTTCAGTTGAAAGGTGAAGTCAAGTATGATTTCTGAAACTGGAAACTCTACTGAAACTGGAAGCCTTATAGTTAAATAATCAATAGAATTTCTTTGTTCATTCTTCCTTTCCATACTCTAGAGCTCATACAAGAGTGTTCTGTATTTTATGTATGCATGTATTTTCTTCATTCATTCATCTATGTACTTTTTCACTTATGTATCTGGCAGAAGCAATTGCATGACAGGGAACACTACTTTTTCTAAATGAACATGGCAATGAGAAATCTTGCTCTTATAGATTTTTAAAAATACTGTCTATGGCTTTATTTCCTATAAACTATGGTATTTGGGGCAAACTCTTGGGAATATGCCAATATATGAAAGAATAAGTTTCATTGGCTGAATCAGTAAAAAGGCAGAAACATGTACCAAAACTCATTAGGCACTGGGTTCAATCTTCAGCACCATATAAAAATAAACAAACAAAATAAAGGTATACATACATGGAGTACAACTTATTAAAGAAAAAAATTATATATATATATATATATATATATATATATATATATATATATACACATACACACACACACACACACACACACACATATATACAGTAAGCCAGTCATGGCAGTACATGGCTGTAATCTCAGAGACTCAGGAAGCTGAGGCAGGAAGATTGCAAGTTCAAGGCCAGCCTCAGCAACTTAGTGAGGTCCCAAGCAACTTAGAGAGACCCTGTCTCAAAAAATAAAAAGGGCTAGGATGTGTCTCAGTTGTAAAGTGCTTCTGGATTAAGTCCCCATTACTAAAAAATAAAATAAATAAATAAATGTGTGTGTGTGTGTGTATCAGTAACATTTATCAGTGAAGATGACAGTCTATTACAGTGCCATTCAAGGTGAATTGCACATGCCATGGGATGGATACACAAGGTAATGCACTGATATAAAAACAAATACTACAAATTCTATTATATTTATTTTCATCTCTCAAGTTCCAGCTTTTGCATTTGTTTTATAATGTTTATTATATTACATTTCCTAAGTACAAGTTTATTTATAGATAGTAACTTATAAAAGTTATAGGAGTATTTAGTAATGCAAAATTTAAAGTTTAGAAACCAATATTCCAATAGATTAGCTAGCTAGCTTCAGTGTACGCACTCATGGATTCAGGCAGCGGACAAAATACCTTAAGCAAAGATTGTTTATGACTTTCCCGCTTCTTCTCTTCCTCCTTCTTGGCTACTACAGATGCCATACGCCTTTCTTCTTCCTAAAAAAAGAAAAAAAAAGTTTTGCCAAAAATATTATGATGTATGTAACCATTTTTTAATGCTAAATATCTTTGGTCTTGAAAGTCTGAGTTTTCTTCTTAAGGAGTACATTACTTGCTAACAGGAAATATGCCCTCAAAGAAAAAGTCAGTATGTCTTTCTTTCTTTTCTTCTTTCCTCCTAAGTCTTAAAAAAAATTCTTCTTAAAAAAATTATTTATTTATTTATGCTAAAAACACAACATTCTTAACTCTATTTCAAACTCTGCAGTTGAGATGAACCTAGGTAATTAATATAAACAAACAAAAAAGTAAAGAAAGGGGGAGACCTTTTCTTTGTATAAATTTTCTTTGAAATTTTGTCAGTCATAACTCAATAAAGTTGGAAAAAATAAAGACTATGAAGTATATTACTTCAGTTCACAAAATTTTTTTAAAAAACCAGTCATAACTTCAATACTCTCACAATTTCTATGTATAGCTTTTAATTTTTTACAATGAGTACATTTTGTAAAGTTGTAACCTAGTTATACAGATTTACCTTTTCCCCCTGAAGAATGTCAAACTTTAATAAGTTACAACCACTTAACTTTTTACTTTTCATTACCATAAGATTTATAGGTAGTGAAAAAGATGTCACAATTTGAGGAAACAATTTCTTCCTTCAAGATAACCTTGAAAATACACTCAGAAATAGGAAACTATGGCCATATGACTTGCTTTGGCCAATGTTATATAAACAAAAGTGACATATATTTACTTCTAGGTGGAAGTTTTCAAAGGCAGTATAATGAGGCTGTTTTCTCTCTAACCTCTACTCTAGTAAATAAAGCAAAGCTCTAGATAGTGGGTACTTTGAAAACTGAGCCCTCCAAAGACAAAAACAAAAAGCACAGATCCCAGACTACATACCATGGCAGACTATTAAGAGCCTGAAATAAACTTATTGATTTAGCCCAATGAGGTTAGAGAAGTTGGTGCCAAAGCAAAATCTAGCTTGTCCTCACCAATATATATTAAGGAAGGTCAAAGAAGACATGAAAATATATTCTACAAGGTGGGCCATTATATTTGTCCCTGAAAACAAAGACTTAAGATAGATAAAGAAATACACTTAAAACATGCACAAACATTAATTATCACAGAGTTAAAAAAAGAAAACTAGAAAAGAATCCACTAAAAGATTCTAATTTTAGGAATGAGGATACTATGCTCTAAGAAGTTAGTAACTTATATGAGGTAACACAGCTAGTGACAACATCTGGATAAGAACCAGAAGCCATGTCTTGCTAGAAATGATAATTGTAGTGTATTTTTATAATAAATTTATATTTAAATTTTTAAAAATTAATTTTAGAGATGAAAAAAGTGAGATTAGAATTCATTAGAAATCTACCATATGATTTAGTTATTTTATTTTTTTAAATATTTATTTTTTAGTTATTTTAGGTGGACACGGTATCTTTATTTTATTTTTATGTGTGTTGAGGATCAAACCCAGCGCCCCGCGCATGCCAGGGAGCACGCTACCGCTTGAGCCACATCCTAGCCTACTGATTTAGTTGTTTTAAAGGGAATGGAAATTTAATGTGATTTTTGACAAATTTCAAGTGCTTTTTCTCAAAATGGGAGATAATTCTTATTAACTTAAAAAACTAAATAGAGGTAATGAGGAGAAATAAACTAAATAAAAAATGCAGAACTCTGATCCCTAGCATCACAAAATAGCTGGTTTAATGATTATATTAAATTCTTTTATTAAATAAATACTAATTTGGTACCTATAGAGTATAACCTATTTTAGAACAAATTTCTTAAAAGATAAAAAAAAATATATTGATGTTCAGTGTTGACTCATCTATAAAATGTGAACTAGAAACAGATTGGTTATTCAAAGAGCCAATTTCAAGCAGTACTGGAAACTGTATGGATCACGTACTACACATACTTAAGAGATGATTTCATCAGATTTTCAAAAAGAATTTCAGCTTCTATTAAAGGCAGTAGGGCTTTAAAAAGGAAATCTAAACCTTGGAAAACTGGATTTTTACCAATCAATTTAAATATTGAGTGTTTTAAGGAATTTTTACATTTGATGGCTGCATTTCAGCTCAAATAATTATAGAATAACTAAATTTAGAAACAAAAATAAACCTCTAATTATGAAGATAAGCTATAAATCTGTTGGTAAGAAGGAAAAAATCTGTAAAATTCTGGCACCTTCATGATAATAGTCTACTCCAGTATCTGGGACAAAAGCCATACTCTTTATGTAGCAAAAGAAAGGGAAAAGATTGGGACAAAAAAACCCCTACTTTTTTCCTTATTTTAGTTTGACCATGAAGACCCAATATAGAAATAATTTCAAGATAATTAAGCAGTACAATGATTTAATAGGTGTTTGATAACCTAGATTATACTTTGCTAGCAGATTATTGCAGCTCTCAAACAATGTATACGAGAAGTTTTGCTCCAAAATAAATAGTAGTCCTTTACTATGTGGAATTTTTAAAATAAAGAGGCAATGCATTTTTAACCACACACTCTAGAATAACTGCTGTTGTTTTCCTTGAATATATAAAACATTGAAATAGATTTAAAAATCACAGTGTTTTGGTCTCAAGAGATAGCCTTATTTTTCTTTTAGCAGAGAAAACTGATTTTTCCAGGGTCATAGGTAGTGTTAAAGCAAGGATTAGGAGCCACATCACCTGACTTCTACTGGGCCAGGAATTAGCCGTTAAATACTAGCAGGAGATTGAAAAGCCCAAACACAATAGGTTTTGCTGCTGTAACAAGTTTAAAACTGACATTAGATTATAATAAGAAATGTTTATTTTTGAACATGCAAACACTACTGCAAATGTCTTCAATGTAGTGGCTAAATGTTCCTGGGTACTATTATTTTGATGATATCTTCAACCCAACATATATTTCCATAATGACCACAGGAAGAAAGCACAGAGAATCTTGCACAGGCTTTTAAATGCTTCTGCCTGAAAATGAGATACAGTACTTTTCTGCTCATGTTTCATTAGCCAAAGCAAGTTACACAGCAACACATAACTTCAAAAGGGTGTAGAAATACCACATTTCCACATGTCAAAAAGATAAGGAGAGCTCGGTGGCGCATGCCTATAATCCCAGCAGCTCGGGTGGCTGAGACAGGAGGATCACAAGTTCAAAGCCAGCCTCAGCAAAAGCGAGGTGTTAAGGAACTTAGGTGCTAAGTGAGACCCTATCTCTAAATAAAATACAAAATAGGGCGGGGATGTGGTTCAGTGGTTGAGTGCCCGAGTTCAATCCCCAGTACCAAAAAAAAAAAAAAAAGGAAGAGAACCAAATCATCAGTGAGTGTTAGTAATGTCTACCAAAAGAAGAAACTTACTTTTGCCTGAAATGAGTTATTCCATTTTTCTTGGGGGGGGGGGGGGTGAGTAAACTGTAAACATGTTCATATTAAGTCATTTAAATGTGCATTTGAGGTAAAAAGTTTGACATTGTTTCTCTTTCAGAATTGTGAGAATTGTGCCTGCATTCCCAAAATGCTGCCTTAGAAATTAAAGGACGAAAATTTGATTTCTCAGAATTTTCTGTATAATGACCCTTGTTCTACTCCTCAGACTGTCTGAATCAATCTCCCTTTCTCTCTCTCTCTCTCTCTCTCTCTCCTCTCTAAAACTAATAGTTCAGGTGTAATCTGACTATTGAAGAAAAAAATGGAATGACTGTCTTCATTTCCTAATTTCTTTATTTCTATAAATGAACATTATTTTAAGCAACATTAGCTTTTAACAATCACATCTTGTAATTAACTCAGGTTGAGCTTATCAATTCTAATGCATTATTTTCACACAACTGCTAAATCTCATTCTCCACAACCCTGCATTTGTGCTGAAAATTGTTCTGTCAGATTGTTAGTATGAGGTTAAAGCTCAATATTTTCAATTTATCTTTTTAAAAAAATTTTATTAAATTCTGTTTATTTTTCTAGATGAGGGGTCAGTAAACTTTTTCTGTAAAGGGTCTGATGGTAAATATTTTAGGTTTTCTGGGCTATCTAAGATTTCTATCTTATATTGTTCTCTGTTCTCCCTTACAAAAACAAAAACAATGTTTTAAAAGTATAAAAACTACTTAACAGTTAAACAAAAGCAGGATGCAGAACAAATCTGGCCTGTAGGCTATAATTTGCCAAGCCCTATCCTAGACTATTGGGTTACTTTTGGATTCTGATTTGATCAAACAATATAAGAGGATCTCTAACATCTTCAGTTTCTGTCACTTACACACGTTAATAGAGTAACATTAAAATTTTCTTATATTGACCTTAACAAAAATGTTGAATAAAACAGGCAAGAGGAAAACCCCTCATCGCATGTCAGTACAGATTTTCTAAAGGCTGGCACCAATCCATTCCTTCATGTTTTGTAGATAAACTTGAAAAATTGTCAACTTAACCACGTTGTCATACAACTTATTCAAAATGATGTCAAAAAAGACTTTTCCAAATACTTTGCTTAAATATCAAAACACAATCAGCAACACTTCTCTGAAAGGGTATATTAATAATTACCCTGATTTGATCATCACATTGTATGTATGCCTTATAATGTACTCATAAATATGTCTAGATACTATATCAATTTTAAAAGTTTAAAATAGGAAACTAATTGTTTTGCATGGATTGCTTTTAGTAAACTAATGCTGCCTCCTAGTGATCAATTCCTTAAATACTTAAAACCAACTTTTAATAATTGAGTTTATATTTTTTATAATATTGATTGTCATAATTTGGAGAGTTTATATTTTTTCTTTCGTGATTAAAAACAGATTAGTTCACCTTAATCCTCGGCTACTCTATTATTACCAAAATTACCTCTCTAATGGTCTAGCAATTTATTCAGTGCTCTAGATCAAGGATTGAAAAATTCTAGTCCACAGGTCAAATCCATCCTGCTAATTGTTTTTGTAAATAACACTTTATTTGAATAAAGTCA